AGCAAAGTCAGGGAGGAAGCAGGAGCTGCCAATCCTTTAATGAGTGAACTATGGAAAACAAAAGTTACTACCTAGCTGCTGAGGCTACTGTGTTTCTGAAATAGATATTTATTGGCTACATGTTTCTCTAACACATTTCAGTCTCTGTGACAATGTCATCTAATATATATATTTTAAAATACCTTCTGGAAATAGCTGCCTGAAGTACCAGTTCTTACTTCTTTTTTATAGTTATTAATTAAGAGGACACATTTTCTCCAGTCAGTGAGCCATCTGTTACTCTACACAGCATGTCTTTTTTAGCTGTTTTCAGCCATGGAATATATTTGAGTTTGCCAAGTCASTGTGACAAAACTTAGTATAGTTCTATAAAGTGCATAGGCCTCCCTCTCCAGTGTGACTGGTGATCTTAATTATGCTCATTTCAGCATACCTGATTTGAAACACTTGGAAATGGAAACCAGTTTTAAAGATATGTAACTCTTAAAAAATTAAGCTCTTTTTCTATTCTATCTATATTGGCAATTTTGATAGCAATTTTTATCACGTAAACACATTTTCACAAAAATTCTAACAGAGACTTTGAAGCTTTAATTGCATTTGGTCTTAATTGTTATTCTAATAAAAGATCAGTGTTTCAACCTTCCTTTGAGATGACATTCAGAAACATTTTGCAGCCCTGTCAGTTGAAGAGTTTCATCCYCTATGCTTACAACTGTGATAATAATAATAATTTACTAGCTCTTACTTAATTGAAACAAAATCAATGGAGGGAAGAGGAGAGGATCTTATCTTAAAATTGCTTAGTGATGTGTAGGAACTCATTCCTAGCCTCCGTAAGTTTTTTCAGGTCACTTATTTATTATGCAGGCATGTTTCTTGCTTCACGAAACTTCTGTTGCCGTGGCATTAGAACATGCCAGCTAAGAACAGATTTGCTTTCCAGATCCRTCAAACATTCAGCCTCTGCAGTAAGTATTCCTTCAGATTCATTGAGAAAACTATTTCATGCAATGTTTCAGAGATGCACGAATTTTGCAATGTTGCAAATATGTATGCATTAGCTGTGTTTATTTCTTGTTATAAAAATAGTTAATGTCAAGAACAACATATTTGAATCAGTCAAATATTAACACACTAGCGTGACAGAATTTGGTGATTATTGCCTTGTGTATCCTTTTCAGTTTTTAAAGTCACATCTAGCACATACTACACCAGAGAGATTGCCTAGTTTTTAGAGAGAAGCTTGAGATACAGGAGACAGGTTCAATCTCAGCTTTATCACAGGCTTTTGGTAAGACAATTATTTCTTTTTATCTCAGTTTTGTTTTAATGATATGGRAGTAATGTTGCTTTTTCATGTTGCAATAAAAAGGGTTCTATAAGTCTATTAAAATTAGTTTTATATAGAATCTTCTCAATTTCCCAGATAAACTGCTTATAAGATTGTGTAACTTCATTTTAAGTCTTCCAGTTTTGTTGAGGGAAAACAGCTTTGCAACATGACAGGCAGTTGGGGGTTACACTCTGCATTCCATATAGAACACTGGAATGTAAATTGGGTTCCCAGTTCATGTAGTGAGCAAATTGGGTCAACTAAGGCACATGCCAGATCCTGCAAAACAGATGCTCAAACCATTATACTGGACAGTTGTAACRTATTTTGCCCATATGAGAAGTTCTTTTAGTGWGCAAGCCACTTTGCAGATCAGCTTTTGCCTGAGTCAGTTTTTCATATGCTATATGTATTTCTGTTCTATTTTACTGAGTTGGATATTCACATTAAATGTCCTCAAATTTAATACTGGTTGTTTTGATTTTTTAAAAATGTTTAATTTTCTTAAGATCTTGGCTTAAGTTGTAGCTTTTGACATTGAATTCTACACTTGATTTATGGACCGTGTAAGAGTATTTGCTTCCAACATTGTTAAACTTATTGCCATTCAATTCCATTACAAGTTTCTCTGTATTAAGAAACAAGACAAATACAAGCAGCACCTGGCTTTCTATCAGGTGCTTCCCTTKTGAGGCAGTGTGAGGGAAAGTAGGAGGTCATTTAGAGCTTGATGAAGACCTATCTCCTGCTTAACACCCATCTTTGACTCATGGAAATCCCAGCCTTGCACCTCAAAATGGCTTAAAGATTATCAGGTGATGACATAATGGGCCTGAAAGAAAAAASTGTCTTAAGATTTGTCAGGACCTTCTGGAAAGAGCACCAATGAAGGTTTCATTTTAAAATCTCAGTTAATTAGCTGGCTTCCTCAAAGCAGTAAGGTTGACCTGAACCTCACTGTAATCTGAATCTGTGAAAGCCTGAAAACTAATAGACGTCCTGCTATTCTGAGTAAAAATTAGTTTCAAAGTGCAAGAAAGAAAGAAATAGAAAGACCTGAATTGTTAAATATTTAAACCTAAATAGTATGGAGCTTTTAGGTGAAGGCTTATTTTATTGTCAATACATTTTTAGCTAGGGAAGGTTACTCAATGCAGTTAAGATTTACATTATAGTTAATTGTAAAAGTCCTGCACTTGATAAGCCTTTAGCTTTTAGCAAATTGAAGCAATTTAAGTAGAGGTAGTCCATGGAAAAAATTTACTCCTGGCAGTATACAGAATTCTCATTGTTAATTAGCAAGATTCAAGGGGAGACTTATTCCTTCCATATAAAAAGTCRTCTATAGCATGTAAAAAAAGTTGTGTGTGTCTTAATGTAAGCAGTATCTGTGTTGTTTGTATTTTTAAAGTACAGTGAAATATTAATCATATTTACCAAAATATACACTGTAAAATTGGATTAATCTTCTAAACAATATGTGTGTTTTTAAATAGATGCAATACAGATTACCTAGTGAGAACTTTTCCTTAACTCCCTCTTGATCTGTGTTAAGAAATCTGACTTGACCTGTCTAGCCATCCTAAAGGTTTTCTTCCCGAGGGTAGATAAAATTTTGTGTTTGATTCCTCTGCTGTTCATGTCACACAGATGGGGTCAGAATCAAATCTATTGAGAAGACACATGAGCAGAGAAGTATCTATTTAATTTTATAGCTTCCCATTCTTCAAATCACAATGTATGTGATGGCTTCATTACTGTAAGCAGGTTGAGTGCAAACATGGACCTGTGCAATACTGTTTCTCCTCGGAGTCATTTCCATGAATTCAAAGTTGAAACTTGAGTGTAATGGTAATGCAGACGTTTTCTTCTCAGAGTATGGTGGCTATAAATATGGTTTTTGAATCTTTCTGGTAATAACAGTAGCAGTGATAAAAGTAACTAAAAATCAGTAGYTTGACTCAAAGAAACAGGAGTGCTTGGAGTGCTGAAGGACTATGTAATTTCTATGTAATTTTTTTTCTGTATCAAGGTAGTTTGTAAAGATAGACATGAACTTGGACTTTTTTTGTTTGCACACAGAAATAAATTTGGTTTCCTTTTTCCTAATTTCCTTTCAATTTTTAGCTTAAAAATATCACTGTCTCCATATAGAATAGTCATTACAATTCTATTTTACAGAAGTTTTCCAATACCTTAATTTAAGATCTGAATATACAGCAAAAACTTGGTTTGATGTGGTTTTCCTGTGTTCTAAAGAGATACTTTAAAGTTTTAAAAATCTGAATGAAAATAGGAAATGTCTTTGCTATTTTCCTCTTACCCATCAATTTAACAAATAAAATGACATTGCAAATGCATACTTTCCAAACTGGATTGAGCAGGAATTGGACTAGAAATAGCATAGTCTTTAAGCTGTTAGCATGTAATAGCAAAGAAAGTAGTGGGTACACTGTTCTTTTTCTTTTTAGGTCATCTTTTAAAGCTATTGAGCTAAATTATACCCCTCCTACATACTTGCTGAAAGTTTAGTGGATTTAGATAATGATGAATGAGAATTTAGGATGTTTTTGTGTATTTTCTTGTTAGCCTGAATTCAAGCTGTTGTGGAAGCTTTAATGAAAGAACATGTCTGTAATTTTGTGTAACTACTAAATTCAGCTGGCAGTGGTATATTTGAGAAAGCATGAATAAGGGTTTTCATGCAGAATCCAACAGTATCATACTTTGTCTTTCTTAACAAAACCCCTCTGTCTGCATATTTTGATCTTTCAGACAATGCCCTTCAGACACAAAAATRCAAGACGAATTGAAGGCCTTGATAGCAATGTGTGGTAAGTAAGAGGAAARTATATGCAGATTTTGGAAAATATCCTTGGCTGATGTATTTTGTTTCCAAAAAGATAATTTTTGCCAATAATAAAGTACATGGCAGTTGGTATCTCTCAGAACTGTGATGTTGTGTGGGGAGGGTTGTGATGGGAGGAGGTTTGTTTTGTTTCATTTTTTWAACTCCTGTTAACATTTCAGTAGGGAGGAAAGAGTAAAATGTAAAGCTGATCTGTGAAGGTAGGAAAGAAAAATTGTTCAAGCATTCTGCAGGCTACTAGGAACAGTTAATAAGCAGCCTGAAACAGTCTGTTACCTAAAATTACTTAAAAAAATTATAGCCTCTGAGGTGACTGGTAGTTTAAATGACACCTTCGATTGACTGAATTTAACCTCTAAGACATTTAGTGTGCCTGCTATTCCATTTCTGCCTATATCCAGAGTAACAGTGTGTTTGTGCATGTGCACATCCAAGCACACTTCTGCTGGCAGAAAAATTATTCTGTGGAAGCAGAACATGAACATTTTCTTGGGTGCCCTCTGACTCCCATGGTCACTTACCATTGTTTCAGCCCTCAGCTCTCCATGTGAGCACTCTATTTAAACCTGTTTCTACTGCTGTAAAATGGGCAAACTGAAATACTTTTTTTTAATGGTAATGAATGAAAAGATAATTTTATCTGGTGTGTTAACTTTAAGATGTTTTTCCCTCTAGGGTTGAATTTACAAAAGTGGCAGCAGATCCCTCAATTGTTAATCTTGGTCAAGGCCTTCCTGATATATCCCCTCCCAGCTATGTTAAAGAAGAGCTGGCAAAGGTAGCTGCAGTTGACAGACTGAACCAGTACACCCGAGGCTTTGTAAGTATTGTGGAACTTGAGGACCCAAGTTCAGTGGAAAATGTGCACCAGCGGGGAAAAAAATTACTTTAAACTGGTTTTATCTATAGCGCATAGTGTTATGCCCCAAATTAAGTTGATCTAGTAGCCTTATCTGTTACTAATGAACTTCCTCTGTGTAAGCTTCTTCAAGTCAGAATCCTTCAACAAGWGCAAAACGGTAGAGCAGGTCTGGAATAGACTGTCTCTGAGGAGTTAATTCAGTTTAAATAGGGTAGGTTATACATTTACCTCTGACTTTGGTCAGTGTAAACATGAATCAGACAGTACAGTGGGAGAATGAGAAAGAAATACCTGATACCACTTGACACAGCACCTCTAGGATCAAGAAGAGGTTCACCCACAGAACATAGTAGGTTTCAGTGACTAGAAAAGGGTGAAACCAGCTACTAAGAAGAACATTATTCCAGCTGAAACCAGGCATAGTCTACCTTCTGACAAATAGTCACAGACTGATGCTCTAAAATTATTTGCAAATCAAGCATAAATATAATGCATGCAATTATTTGCTGTTTATTTCTGTAATTTTGTTCTTTATACCCAAATGGTTTTATACATCTCATGATAATTACGAATGTTACAGATGTAATATACTGCAGGTAGTAATTAAAGAGGAATTTTCGCTAATATTCCCATCTTCAGCCTTTGTACTTATTCTACAAACTTCTGCACTTCTAAGGTTTTTGAGCACAAGTATTTGTAGTAGCACACATGGGAGAGATGAGAATGAATGATGCCCATCCCTCTGATAATTGAGCCATTATCTCAGCTACACTAGGAGCTCACAGTGACTGTAGGGCCACAGAATGGCCTCATGTGACTTAGGTGCTGCAGCATTMCTGTCTTGCTGACTGGCTCATGGCAACACATGGTTGTCATTTGAATCAGCAATGACTTGTAAGCCTTAATTTATGGTAATGTTTTTGTTTACAGAAGAGTTCGTGATTTATTGCCTTGTGTGTAAAGGTGAAATGGTCAATATTTTAAAGGATTTTTGTTACATAGTTGCATTTTCTCAAGGAGCTGTTTTCTATTTCTACCAGATATCCGAAAAGAAAAAAAAAATTTTACTGTAGGAATCCTGCAGTTTTCCTGAATAAACAGAATTGTGGCTTGTTATTCCCACATCGTATATGACCTTTGTTGCATATTTGTTTTCTTGTTCTTTGCACATTTTGAGGAGAGTATGTTTACTGCTGTGTCCCTGGAGGGGACGAAAATGGTGAATGGTGCTCTGAGATTTGGGATGTGAATCGTTTATTAATAACTATTAGTTATTATAACTAATTGATTTTTAATATAGATAATTAAAATTATGGCTATTTTGATCACAAGTGCTATTTATCAGCAATATGTAAATACAATAAAACCACTTCCCTTGCACCAAATACTTTTTATTTGTAAGATAAGGAAGGAAACAGAAGGAAGTGAAAGAGACCTAAAAAGAGGTGAGGATTAATTGGTGTCGGAGTATGCCCTTCTCTCCTCCTGTCTCATCCTAGCTCTGCTATAGGCTATCTGGACCTACTCTGAGATGTAAAATAAGAAAGAAATTTAAAAGCACCAAATAGAAAAATAATTTCCCAGTAGATACAAATAAATTGAAAACACTCTTCCTTCCTAATGTGCAAAAAGTTTAAACCCTGCTACCTGTTAATAGCCATTAACACTGAGGGCTAATGTTGTGTTTTTCTATTTCAAAATGTAATATTTTGATACATGTGGAAAAAAGCCCAAACACAGGCTTTTATACATTGTCAGGAACACACTAATCAGTTTTTTGTTTTGAACAGGGACATCCATCACTGGTGAAAGCCTTATCTCAAGTGTACGAGAGAACTTGTGGAAGAAAGATTGATCCTCTCACAGATATCCTGGTGACTGTGGGAGCTTATGGATCTCTCTTTAGTACAATACAGGGACTAATTGAAGAGGGAGATGAAGTAAGTTTTTATTGAAAATAGCCATGTATACACACAGAAATGAGAATCCTTCTATTTTTCTTATTTATCTATTTTTAAACATCAGTTAATTTTCGGACTTCTTTCTATCCCCATTAGTTTGTTACAGTTGTACATCCAAATTAGAGTTTCAGAAGCTATGATTAGGAGACTATCCTTTGGATGTCTTCCTATCATTCATCAACTTACAAACACATTTTTCTCGTACTTACAGTAATTGTATCAGTTTCTTTATCACAGCAGTTACTGTTAGGTGACACAATACACACTGATTTCTTATTTGTGGGCTGTTGTCTGCAATAGAAAACTAAGGGTGGCACAAAGAATTGTTGGTGTTTGGGTAACCATTGTGTATCACATTCTGTTCTGGGCCATTGCATGGTAGTAGCGTAGGTAGTAGAAAAGCTTGTTAGTTTACTGACTAACTGTGATGACTCGTCACTTCACTATTACTGATGTCTGCCTTTTTAATGATGATATTAAAAGTCATTTTACAGGAATATTTCTATCCATAGTGGATGAAACCTTTTTGTGTTGTTGTGTATTTTGCTTTCAGTGTTTTGTTTGTTTCACTTGTATATTGTATTCTTATCTTGCTTTTCTGTTGCTGTGATAGTCACTTCTCTTTTGTTTGGAATAGTTCTATTAGCCTTTGCTTTTCATGTTTATTCTGGTTTTATTTTTTTTTTCTATTGTCTAGTCTCTATACAGTTTTTTTTTCCTGAATTTGTCCTCTTTCTTTACTTGAGAATTTTCCTCTGATAAAATTTGAGGACTTAACTTTTCTTCTGAGATTCCAAGATACTTAGAAATCTTGGAATTTCATGGACAGAATTAGAGCAGCTGTGCTGTTGTTTAACAGTTTGCCATTGCTATTTYTCATCTTTGCACCTTTGCCTTGCACCTTCAAATCTGTGTGTAGGACTCAAAAGTTCTTCTTATTATAACTCAGTAGTTGTAASGTGTAACTATAGAAGAACAGCCTGTGTGTGTTGTCAAAAATGCGTAGTGCTTATCATGCTTAGACTGAGGGCATTGCTGTGTGATACTCTAAAAGGAGTATTCTGCAGTCTTATATCATTACATCTGGAGTGCCAGAAACATTATCAAGTTTACAATCAAGGTAAATGTAGAAATTTAGAAATGATGGTATCATGCACAATAAATTCTTTGTTTCTGATACTGATGTTTGTCATTTCAGGTCATAATAATAGAGCCATTTTATGACTGTTATGAGCCAATGGTAAAGATGGCGGGTGCAAAGCCTGTTTTCATCCCACTAAGATGTGTGAGTAACTTAAACTATTAATTATATAAAGTTTCTCATCCGTATTCAATAGTTTGATGAACACCTTCTATGTGATGCTTTTCTGTATTGTTTTTCATAATATCAAATTATATAAAAATGAGAGAGATTGCTATAATGCAAGTTTGAGACAATGRGAATCCAAAACAAACATTTTATTAATATCGGGGAAGGTGGAGCAATGTTTCTTATTTGCTTTAATTCATGCATTCTGAAAGCTGTCTAAAATTGCTTTCTTCAGTTTTCAGTGTAAATTATGGAAGGGGCAAATTATATCAGTGCAATTTCTCTAGCAGTTGGTTTTCAAAAGATTTGGTTTCTTCAGCAATTCCTACATTGATAGAATACCATTTCTTTTCCAAAATATGCTTGCTAAATAAKTACTGATCATGCAGCAGACGGCAAGGCAGTAAACTCTTCTGCCATGTGACTGGGCTTTCTGCATTACACACTATAATAATCAGCATGTGTGCAACAAGATCCCAGAAACCAATTCCTGCAGGGACTTTAAGACAGACAGTGGTCAGGAGAGGACAGCCACTGTCCTCCATAAAAGTTTCCCTTGTTTTTAGCCTCCTTGCCTGCTCCTAGAACTGCTTTCTCTCAGGTGAGCAGAACAGATTGGATAGGTTGTCAAGTATGGTTATGAAAATGTTTGATAAGTTGAGCAACTCTCTGTAGGCTGCAACTTGTATTAAAGTAATGTATAAATTTATTGTGGGTTTTGTTTTTGTGTGGTTTTTTTTAGAAAAATGATGGAATCTCTGCATCTAGTGCTGATTGGGTCTTGGATCCTGCTGAACTTGCAAATAAATTTAATTCCAAAACAAAAGCCATTATTCTGAATACCCCACACAACCCAATAGGCAAGGTAAGAGTCCTGCTTTAACACCACTGCAGTTTCAAAGAATGCCTTAWATAGTGTGATTAATGCATTAATGACATTTTCTGTATCCCAGGTGTTCACCCGAGAAGAGCTCCAAGTAATAGCTGATCTCTGTATTAAACATGACACCCTGTGCATCAGCGATGAGGTGTACGAATGGCTGGTGTATAAAGGGAATAAACACATTAAAATAGGTACTGATTTTTTGTGGCATCTTAGAAGTGGTTGTGGAATGATGCTGTTAACTTGCCTCCCACAGAGAATGCTTGCTGGAAGAAGCTCAAACTTCAAGCTTTGAATATTTTTCAATGTTTAGACTCCCTTTTCTAAAAAGAATTTAAAAGAATAATTTCCAAATAGAATTTCGAAAGCTCTTAAGTGACTTTGGAGCAGATATCCATAGAAACCAGTGGGAGTGATGCTCATGCATATGCATGTCCAATCCTTATTCAGTTACTTTGTTGGCCATGACAAGTATAGCTGCTGCTACTGTGCGTGTATTAGACAGTGTTTTGCTGAAGAACTAATAAAAGGAACAGGAACTTCCCTCTGAAAGCTTTGTAGAGATAATCAATGACAGAAATGGACAATGGGGAATACAATTATTTTTGCCCCACTAATTATAAGAACTAAAAAAAAAAGGATGAAAGGTCATTGTGGAGATCGTGCATGAGCATGTGTAGGCTGTGAGTCTATTTTGAGGGTGACCTAATTCCATGTCTGTTTTGGTTGCCTTGATAGTGATACCTTCTCAAAGACCTTCAAACATGGAAGGARAACATTTTGGGCAGATTAATGTGATAGTAATCTGAGTCACTGTATCCTAACAAGTTACCTAACCGTAACTGATCATGTGTCCCAGTTGCAAAGTAAAGTCAAAGATTGCTACAWGGGCTTAGCAGGTGTTTCATGGCCTTAGCAGGTGTTTAATGCAAATAGCTGTCTTCAGAATCAAAATCTCTCGYGTGGTGCAAGATAATCTCTTTTCCTTTTTACCAGCAGGTCCAAACACATTGTCAGTTACACTTCATCTAATGGGCAGGTGGTGAATTCTTAAGATGCAGTAAACTCCACTGTCACCAGCATCTTAATGTTTCAAACCAAAACATTTCCAGTTGAACAAAAGGCATTCTGAAATTTAGCATAAAATGTAAAAAGTTGTATAAAGAAAATGCAAATTAAAGCCTAGGAAGTTAGTCAACTAGATTTAGTCATATTCTCTAACAGATCCCATAATATCATCTTTAAATTTAGTGTTAAAGTGCTATAAAACTTTCAGTGTAACACTGTAAACAATAACATTTCAGTGAAAGAAACAAGATCTGCTCTACTTTTACTTAAATTTCTCAGATTTCTTATTACTTCTAAGTCTACAAAAACATATATAAAAAAAGAGTGTATTATTTCACTATTTATAAACTCTTGTGTTTCTGTAGTAACCTCTACWTCTCCTATCCAATACTTTGGAAGTGACTTTTTTTTTGTGAGAGATACAAAATAGATAGTGCATCAATTTGCAGGATCTGAGAGTGGTTCCTTGATACAATTTAGCAGCGTTGCTAGCTATAGCCCATTAAATTCGTTTTCTTTGTGCTGTCACTGAAGAAGTTTTCTGTAACATAGAACACTTCATCATGTTTCTCATCATCTGACTTATGTAAAAATGTGGACTTCCTCTGCATAATTATTAGGGTTGCACTCATAGATTCAGAGACTGCACCTCATAACTGAGGATTCTGAACAAGCTGAGTGCCATCCCAGGTAACAGGCTTATTATATGTGTTATTTTTCACTTCATTAGTTTTACAATTGTAGTCAGACTTGGTTATGGTGTCATATGATGTCATATAAGGTTGCCCTATGGCATAGAGAAATTTCCCTCTCTATTTAAAATTCGTTTGTRAAAGCAATGGAKCTGCTTCCTTCTCTGTGCCCTTGTACTGCTGCTGTGTTTTGCAATGCTGTCACACTCTATCTTCAAGGTTGAATTCCTGTGACTGTGGCAAAACAGTCATGCTAGAGGCCATTAGCTTTGGAAGCCAATTTTTTTGCAGTCTGTGAGAGCTAGTTTGGGTGCCTTTAGGAAGTGATCTGTACTCTTGGCCTAGCTTGGTAGAAGGTGTATCTGTTCAAACTGCCCTTTGCTTTTCAAAGTCACAGAGTAGTTGAGTATGGGTAGGCTAATAGGAAAATCCTTWTCTTTCATGCCGTTTGGTTTCTCTTCTTGGTTTGCTCAAAAAATTGCAATACATATTTTCAAATAACTGAAAGACACCATGTCTAATGCTGGTAACTGCAGTAAAAACTTCCTTGTGAAATTCAATGGCTTAATTTGGAAAATCTTTGTTAATTGGTCTTGCTAGAGAGAGGATTTAATAACTGACAGATTCATTGGTAGTGGTTCTAGTACACTAATGAGATGAAAACAGATGTTGGTTTCTACTGCAATTGCAACCTTGTCTAACTTTGTGTCTTGGACTTATGTGTGTCTGGATTTATCTGTTTCTCTTAAAATTAATCAAGTTAGAGTCCAAGTAGAGCTTTGCAGAAGCTGTATACAGAAAAAAAAATTGCAGACTACAGGAAGAGACCTTTGCTCTGTCATCTCCTTGGAAAGGAAACAAAGGATTTTGGTCTCCTATGAGATACAACTGCAGAGACAGAGACAGGCCGTGGGTCTCTTAAACCTTGCAGACATTTTAGCTAACTGCTACTGTCAGTCAKTCCCTGGCCTGTTCAAATTGTACAACACAGCATAATTTATTTACTCCCTCTGCTAGTTTTCTGTTGTTCTGTCGTTTGTTTCTGGGTTAGAAGTCTTAGTAATTATTTCCTTTTTCTGATGTCTGAGACAGCCAATGATACTGAACTGGACAATTCTAGTAAAGTGGGTTGCARTGCCTGAGTTAATGTTATCAGGCATCAGAAATAAGCTGTCTTGAGGTGAATTGGTAGCCACTCCTTAGATCATATCATTCTTATGGATAATAGTGCATTTTTGTTGAGGATAACTAACATGTAGTTTTCAAACTKTACCTCTTATTTTCTGCCTCTTCTTTCCCCTTTCATTAATCTTCACCTTCTTTTCATGCTAAAAACATTGGCCCATGTATCCTTTGTCATTTGTTAAAATTGCTATAATTTGAGAATATTTCCACTRTTTGCTTAAGATGCTGCAATGATACATGAACATACAGCTTTGAGCTAGGGGCAGTGCAGTTCTTCAGAATACATGGAATATATGAGTGCACCTGTACCAAATTAATTTTATTTTATATACAGCTACGTTGCCAGGTATGTGGGAGAGAACAATAACTATAGGAAGTGCTGGGAAAACATACAGTGTAACTGGCTGGAAGGTAAGARGAATCAGTATAAATGAGCTCAGTTATATAAATAACAAAATGCATTTATTACTCTAAAAAAGTCAATGTTTTTATGATCTCTGAAAGCCTGTAGCAAATCTCCATGTCTCCAAAATATGACAGTGCCATTCAGTAGCAGCAATTACCTATCTTTAACACCCATGTCTTAATTATGTTCTTGTCTTTTAATTGATAAATTCTTGTGAGCATAAATTGCTAAAAAAACCACCACAGTATGGTTTGTTCAAAATCAGTAAAGATTYGTGGAGAAAACATGGATATTATGATATTTTAACTTCCCAGTTGCCCCATCTTGACTTTTAAATACATATCAGAAAGTAAACAAAAAAAAAGTTAATGATTTGGCAGCTAAATTCTTCTTCATCACCTGTGTTCAAACTGAACCACAACATATACGATTCAGTAGCAAGCTTTTGTTTTATGTTTCACACAGGAGCTTACCAGATGGAAAGGTTYTAAACCAATTAGAAATAACATTCCTAGTAAATGCTCAGTTTGATTTCTATGCCTTGTTATATGAAGAGTTAAAAAGTTTGCTCAGTATCCTATAAGAGATAGGGATAAAGAAAACTATAACTTMTGTCTCAAATCTGCAATTTTTTTAAAGCTATCATATACCAAACTTTGTGTAAACCAGCTCTTTTCTTAATTATTTATCAAAACAAATTCCTAAAAATTGAGAAACTTGAGACATTGGCTAATTTTTATTATTTGTTACTTTCTAGTAACACCACTGCTGTAAATATAATATATGCACACTTTCCTCCCTTAGCTTGGTTGGTCCATTGGTCCTGAGCACCTGATTAAGCATTTGCAAGTTGTTCATCAAAATACACTTTATACTTGCCCAACTCCATTACAGGTAGGTACAGATGGGGCAGAGGAGTTGTTTTCTAGTGTAAGAAAGCTGCTGGCCTCACTGTAATAAAACAGTAATCGTAACAATGAATGTTTAACTGTCAAAATACATATTCTGTGGTGTAAGAAGAGGAAACAAATTTGATCAGTTCACCAATTCTTTCRTCTTTCACTTACAAACTACTTCTTGCATAAAACATTACAATCTTAATGGTTTCCTAGCAAATATAAATGAAGGTTATGTCTACTAGAGTCTAGTATTCTGTGGCACATTATTACAAAAAAATTTAAATTTAACTTCAATTCAGATTATAAACCCTTGTGTCAAGGACTGTGACTTCTGTATATGATTAGTGCCTCGCAAAAGATTGGTTGTTTTGGGTGTTGCCACAGCACAAAGTAACAAACAGATTACAGATGTAGTTTTTGTAATTTGCTGATTTGCTTACTAAAGGCCAGGACTGAACAAAATTCCACATGATTTCAGTAGGAAGTGTGTGAGTGCCTGTGAGTGTACTGAGTGCTCACGAGTTCTTTGGACCTTATGTTTCCAGGAGGCTTTGGCACAAGCATTTTGGATTGACTATAAACGCATGGACAATCCAGACTGCTATTTTCACTCCCTGTCTCGAGAGCTGGAAAGCAAGCGTGATCGGATGGCTCAGCTACTGAAAGGGGCTGGACTAAAGCCTGTCATTCCAGATGGAGGATACTTTATGATTGTTGATGTTTCTACATTAAGTCAGTATGAAGTTTATTAAAGAGAGTGTGGAAAGCAAATTTGGTTAATCTGAAAATGCAACTTCCATTTAAAACTATATTCTCATTTGATGTGTGTGTAACATTGTCAGGAGTACTAACTGGGACTGAAATTGYTGGTTTTACCTTAGATGCTAAGGTAGATTTTATGAGCTTCAGCAAACCATTTGTGATCCTAATTATTATCCATGTTTTGCAAAGCTTTGACAAGTTTTTAGAGAGGATAAAGGAGGTGGATAAACATTTCTATTTTCAAAATGATTATGAAAATGTTTGAGAGCCAAGAACCTGGAAAATATCCGGAGTTCATACCATTTGTATTTTCCTCTTTATGGTCTTTGTTAGTTTTTCATAACCCAAAGTCACACCCTAAAGGCTCTTTGAAGCTTTCTCATCTCTAAACAGTGTAAAATGCTTCCAGTATTTACAAAACCTTTTGAAAATTCAGRTTATGGTAACTTCAGAGGAGGAATTCCCACAGGGGAACATTTTCTAGTTCCACATGTTTTCACTAACTGGTCTAAATGGCACTTGTCATTCAGACAGAAATGTTTAAACACAGCTGGACCTTGCAGTTTGATCATGTGTCAGAAAGTCGTAGGTACCCCAGTTTCCCAGATGAGAAAATGGMATTTTCAGGGATTATTGCTGTCCATGCAATAAGTGCACTCTTCAGTACCCTCCATAGCCCTGATCCCTCAGTAGCCCAGACTTCAGAACTTCTTGTCTGGCTTTCTTCTAAGCTACATGAATGAATTTGCTTTCGATGGAAAGCAACTGCTCAGGTCAGAATGAAAAGGTTTGATCTGTTGGCCTAATTTAATTCTTATATTAGAATTTYAAAATTATATATTAAAGTAAAAACGTGTCTCTTCATTCTTAAGTACTAACTATAATGAAATGCTGTTAATGAATACCTTCCCATTAGAGTCTAGGAAATCTTACAACATAATTTGTTTTAAATTTAGATGTGGATCTCTCTGGTGTAGATGAGAAACAACCTTATGATTATAAATTTGTCAAATGGATGATAGCATCTAAGGTAAGATGTCTTTGTCATACTCTAGTTTTAGAAATGTTTTTCTATTGAAAGCAAGAGCAGTGCAACTGTAATTATTAAATAATGTAGTAGAGATGTTCCAATCAAAATATAATTTGGTGTTGCTGATAGTGGTGTGACTAAAATATTGCTAAAAATGTTGAAAATGTACCCCATAGGTTTGTGCTACATCCCAGCACTTTTCTTTCAGCCTGCTTAAGTGTTAGTTCTACAGAAGTACCTTTGAAATGTTTTGCCTAAGAAAAGTAATTTGAATTTAGTAAAGCCTAGCTAGTGCATACAGAACTGAACCTTGTCTTTCCCTCGTGTTGGGAGGGAGAGTCTAGAAATAGAATAAAATCATCATGCWTAAACCAAATTTTTTATACACATTTAAATAAGCAAATACAATTTCTGTTTTATGTTTCAGAAGCTGTCAGCAATTCCTCTTTCACCATTCTGTGGTCCTGAGACAAAGAAACAGTTTGAAAAATATATACGGTTTTGCTTCATTAAGGTAAGTTGGTGTCCTGAAAATCAATGCAGTACAGAAATCTGCAAGAGACTGTCACATTTTTCCCAGGATCTCTTGTGTTGAATGGTTTTAGGAACAGAAAGCCAGTTTGGTAAAATTCAGCACGAAGTATCTTCAATTGTCTTCTTGCTGAGGGACTTCAATCACCCATCAATGTGGGTGGCATGGCTAAGAAGGCCAWCTGTCAGAAAACAACTGGATGGGTAGCCCTTTTTTAGCTCACTGTGCTGATTTTTATAAACATTCTTGACCAGTGGTGACAGTGAAAATTATTGAGACAGGTAAGATATCAATTAATATATCTGTAATCCAGAGCAGAGAATAGCTSTATAGAGTGTGTGTCCCATGCCCATTCAGTGTCTTAACAGCAAAAACAGTGAAGCAGTGAACCTTCAAGTTTAGCTCCCTCATCTGAAAATACAGTTTCACACAAGCTCCAAATTACAAAAAAACTATGGGGTTTTTTTGTGAATTGGCTGATTTTTGCCATTTTGTGAGCACCTCCTTTACAMATATTCTTCCCCCTGTTAAATCTGTTCTTGAAAAGACCGGAAGACTTCGGGGACAGAGATGTAAACTTTGATAAGCCCAGAGCTCTAAGATGTTTCCCAATTGTTCTGTAACAGAGTCAGCATAATGGAACATGTGCAAACCCTGAACTGTGCTGTGCAAAGATCAGAGCCTTAGCCTGAACCAGTAATTCTCCTTGTGTTACTTACTCCTTTTGATGAGGTGTAAAGTTTATGGTATAAAYTGAGCCAGTAAGAACCAGGATGAAACTTGCTGGTTGTAAATGTGGCTTGCCTGTGATGAACAGCACTCATCATTTCAAGTTAGACTACCTGAATGACTCACCAGGCTGGAGCCACAGTTTGGAGGGGTTATGTTTAAATAGCTCACAGCATAACATGGTTGCATGGAGATTAAAAATCCCAACTGTACTCACAGGGATTAAGMAAGTGTGCTAGCATGTCTCCAAACCAGTTACCAAGTAACATCACTGCATTAATGCCATGAATTTTTGCAAGTATTGCTCTCATTAAATGTGATAATATGAATGCTGAAATGATATGTTATCTTTTAAATATATCTAATAAACATTTCCAAGGAATCAGCARTGAATTCTTTGTATAGTCCAGATTTGTACCTTTTCATTAACTGTTAAAGAAAAACTGGCTGACAAGATATTTACAGGATGCAGCTGAAACAACCAAACACTGATTTGAGATGATATAATCATGACTGGCTCCTTTCAAGAACTCCATACTTACAGTAATAGTGTTGTTCCTTGTTTTGCAGAAAGACAGCACGCTAGATGCAGCTGAAGTGATCCTGAAGAACTGGAATAAACAGACAGGCTGATTTTTCATATTAACTCTTCCATATGGTATAACTATCTAATAGTAGGGTTTTTTTATTGGAAATTTAAGAACAAACTACTTAATACAGTACAGAATTAATAAGACRTTGTAAATAACTTTTTGCTGCCACCTGCTGAGGAGTTAAAACACTGATTTGTTGAAATATGTGTAATGCAACTCAGAGATTATTTTCAGTCTTTTAAAAATAATTTGCTTCTCTCCTAAAAAAACCCAATGAGATTCACTTCTTTTACTGACAGATTTATAGGAACTGTGTAAAATACATAAATTATATAGATATTTAAAACCTTACAAGAAAAAGGTTGGGAGATTTTTTTGGTATAAGATAGTATGGGACTTAGAGAAATACTTACATACATTGTGGTGTGTGAAACCAAACAACCTGCAGTAGAGGAAGATTAAGACGTGGCTCAGATAATTTTAGTGAATTTCTACATACCTGCCTAGCTTCTCTGTCTGCAGAAATTGCATCAGTTTAAACAAAGAGTGCTAAATTACATAATTACTATTTTATTTTCCACAACAGTCATATGTGGTGTTCTGAAAGTATTCAGTCCTCAATAAAATTATAAAAGTGGCATCTAGAATAGGAATTCTATTTATAGAATATCCTATATCTATGTATTTATTACATGGATGAATCTACARACCAAAATATAGAAGACTTAATATTAGAGGCCCTTTACAATCAGATGAACAGTAAACATAATTAATTGTCTCATTCTTTTTCTTACCATGTTACAACATTGGTAATTTCACACCAAACTYACTTGAAGCTCTTTAGATCTAGGGGGCCATGGAAATGGGCCTACTGCTATGCTGTAGAGCTCAACTAGCTTGGTTTCATGCACAACAGTTAAGAGGCCTTGTTTCAAAAGAGGTTGATATGGAGAGTTCCTTTCTAGCTGCCTCCTTTTCCAGTTCTTTCTGAGATCTTTTAAGGCTGTGTGCTTTGTGCTCCATGATCTTTCTATGCTCTTCTCACAGGCTGTCAGGGTTTCAGATGGGWTAGAGTCAATTTTCTTCTCAGTACCTGGTGCAGTGCTGTGTTTTGGATTCAGTACGGGAATAATGTTGATGTTTTGCTTGTTGCTAAGTTGCTAAATCAAGGACATTTTTGTGTCTCCTGCTCTGCAAGTGAGGAGGTGCAAAAAAATTTAAAAAGCTATGAGGGAGCATAGCTGGGACAAGTGATCCAAACTGGCCAAAGGGATATTCATRCCACAGAATGCCATGCCCAGGATAGAAACTGGGGAATTAGCGGAAAGGAGAGCTGATCAGGGTTCAGGGATGGGGTCTGCCATCAGTTAGTGGGSGCTAAGCAACTGTATTGTGCATCACTTGTTTTTTTTTTAATCCTTTTTATTATCATTATCATTATTTACTATTATTATTCTTTTTCACTTTGTTTCGACTATTAAACTGTTTTTATCTCAACCTACAGGTTTTACTTTTGATTCTTCTCCCCATTCCATCAGTCTGGGGTGGTGGGGGAGTGAGCAGCTGGGTGGTGCTTAGTTGCCAGCTGGGCTTACACCATGAGACAGCTCTTARGGGGCAAAGCCTGAACAAATTCAGTAACCAATGTTTTGCTCATTCTGTGATTGCACAGCTGGACTCCTAACTGTATTCCATTAGACTATGACCATGGCCAGGACCTTTAAAAAGATACAGAAACTGGACTGGGAGAAGAGCTACTTAATACTTCTTGGTCTTGGGCTTTTGGGAGTCCTGTAGCTAGGACTTCCATGGTCTTTACAGTTGTCTTGTGCTGTCATTCTGCAAATCTCACTAGAAGATGGTTGGCGGGTATTTTTAAAATGGTGTGTAGTCTTTGTGTTGAAAAATCAATTTAACAATTCAAATTACTTAGCTGAAATTTCATCATGAATTTGGAAGTTCCTATGTTAAATTCCAGCATAAACTATTTTTTTAGACACTACATTTCTGTGAAATCTACACTCCATATTACAAGGACTTGAAAATCTGTTTATGTAAGTTGCACTGGGGAGCTGTGGCATTGCAGGAACTAAGAGATTGCAACAGGCTATTGAACTGTGTGATAAATCAACAAACCATTACAAAGGTCCCTTAGACACAGAAGTAAGAACCAGAGATTTGTTTTCATTAATGTACTGTTCATTGTGTTTGCAAAGGCATCTGAATATCCCATTGCATTAGTGTTGAAATGATGCTGGTAATTTTAGCAATGTAAGAATTGCAGTTTAATTACACACTTTTATTACTGATAGTAACCAGCGTGAGATACTTGGCATGAACTTTTAAGAAACTCTAGAATGACCAATTAAGCAAGTTTTAAAATAAGTTTATTGTTTTAACTGCAGTGATGGGAAAGAACAGCTGGGAACAGCAAGGTAAACTTTATGTATTATGAAAATGATCTGTTGTTGACAGAGACTGTTAACAGTGATATTCCCATCTGCCACATCAACCACTTTTTGTCTGCTGCTTGTGGACAAAGTACTTGAAAAATTGCTGCAGGCAAGGAATAAAGAATTCATGATATATCATCTGTTGTATTTTTGCAACATTTCTGAAAATTACTGTCCTTCTRTGGAGAAAATTAAATTCCTTCAATTCTAGTTAATGAGAATAGGCTTTGGATGTTTGACTATGATTGCCAGCAGAAGATCTTTTTTGTAGAACARAACATGGGAGAAAACAAGAGAAACCTGGAAAGCTTGATGGCACTGATAGTGGTGATGGGGCACATCTGTTGCAGTCACTGCTCCATACATTTCAGAGATTATGGAGAATCTTAATATCAYGTGCTCTGTTCACACTGACAGTTACAGTGATTTGTTTTTCGTATCTCTTTCATCTTTTGGGTTTACCAAGCATTTCTGAAAAAGATCATTGCAAGTGGAAAAAAAGCTTTAAATTTGTATCTGGCACATCTTCTAATAGTTCAGCTTTCTTATATTCCAAAAGATTGAAACTTTTTTTTATCCTAAGGAATTTGTTGTCAACTTTAAACTAGCATTTTTGCAACCAGCACACAGTACTTCAGTTGGTAGAGAAGTGTTTGGAGGTTGTGTGATAATTAATTTGACTCAAGAGTAAGTATTAGAGAAATTTTAAACTCCAAGGAATTTCTTCCTTTGAGCTAACAAACTGAAAACTGTTCTTGTTATGTAGTGGATACATGTTCTTAACTGGTGTGAAAAGTCCTGTGTGTCTGATAGATAGATAGATAGATAGATAGACAGACAGACAGATACATAACTGTTGAGAGACTTCAATACTGATCACTTTAAAGCACTGAAATGTCACTAGCCAAAATCTGCAGACTCTCCTCTGCTGTTTGTCTGTTTTAGTGAGAACAGGCCCTTACTGAAGGAATACATTTTTTCCATTGTTTTATAGCTTGGGCTTGAAAAACCTGTTGTTGCTGCTCATTATACAATCTAWTTTCGCATATGGGATAATCTCGTGGGTAAGGAAAACCAGGAGTCGAGTCCAGCGCTGGAGTGCTTTGGCTTTTCCCTCTCTTTGGCCTGATGTTCGCTGCCAAGGTGGATGCGAGGGGGAGAGAGAGAAGGGAGCTGATGGCACCCCGCAGGTGTGTGCGGGGAGCAGGGGAAGCCCACACAACCCAGCGGGCTTTGTGTCTGCTCCAGTCAGCCCGAGCGTCTGAGTCACGGCCGGCCCCACACCTGCGGTCCTGCCCAGGGAAGCGCCACGTTCTTCTCCTCATTCCGCCAGCCTAACCACTACAGCTGTAGTTAGACGAGAGCAGGAAATAAATTTTTCCCCTTTCTGGAAACTGGTCCTAGTTTCAGAGCCAAGAACGTGTTGTACCCGACACACTTCTCCGCAAACTTGGGAGAGTTTTACTTAAACTTGATTTCTGTGAGATTTCACGGAACTGCTGGAGTCCGCACACAAGCAGATGAACCGGAGTCACGCCCCGGGGACGGCACGGTTGGCTTTGTGCAGGGGGTCTGCGGGCTGCTACCTGGGCCGAGGGGAAGGCTGCAGTCCGTGTCCCGAAGCCCCTGAGCCGCAAAGGCGCTACCCTGAGGGCACAGCTGCCCGGAGGGCACAGCAGCCCGGAGGGCACAGCAGCCCTGCCCAGCCCTCAGCCACACAATGCCCGCTGGGGGCCCGCCCGGCACCAGCGCGCGGCGGCTCCGCCCATGTGCCCGCCCCCTCTCGGGACCCGTAGGAGCGCTCWGCGGCCCCGCCCACCGCTCTCGGCMTTTAATAACAGGCGCCGCTCCGCCCCGCCGTCTCCGGCACTGCTGCAGCACCGGCCGAGATGGCGTCCACCAGCCGGTATGGGGGCGGCCGGGCGCGGGGGGCCCTGGGGAGGAGCGGGAGCGGCTCTGCCATCGCTCCCGTCCGCGGTACAGACAGAAAATGGCCGCGTCGCCCCCGCTCACGCCCGAGGACGGGCTGGCGGCCATCGCCGCGCTTGCCTGGGCCCGGTGCCGCCGGTTTAGCGCGGCTCTCGTGGTGTACGGCGCACCAGCCCTTCTCCGGTGTCCCGTGTGTCCGCTCCTGGGGCGGTGGGAGGCCGGGCCTCGGCACCCCCGCGCCTCTTGGTGCAGGCCGGAACGGGCGGCCCCCGGCTGAGCGGCCTCTAAGAGCCCGAGCTCGCCGCCTTTCAGTCTTCGTATCGTTATTCCTCGGCAGCGCTCCCAGGGCACTCCGACGTTTTGGGGGGATTTATGACCTGAGCGTGAGGCTGCTCGTTAGCGACAGCTCGGTGCGAATGGGGACCCGGCCCTGTTCCTCCCCCAGCGCAACTCCGGCCTGGCCGTGCCGTGCCCTGAGGGCCGGGGCCGGTTTGGAGCCCGTCCCGCCGTGTCCCTCGGGCGGGCACCGCCTGGCGCAGCCCCCGCTGTTCCCCCGCTCCGCACCGCCGTGAGCCGAGGTGCAGCTCTCTGGCCTGCCTCCACCTTATCGGGCACTGGAAACTGTTTTCAGGCTCCCACCCTAAATCCGTACCGGCGCTAGTTACTGACCAGACGGGTTTCGGGCTCCGAATTATTTTTTCCTGGAGACGTTTCGAGTTTTTCTTTCAAGTCAGGAATGAAAAAAGGCCCATGGAGCAGACTGGAATGACTCTCTAGCTCCTGCTAAACCTGTCCTAGGATCTAGGAGTGTTTCCCATTAGTCTTGCTGCAACTCKGGAGTTATTAGCTGAGATGGGCCTTCACACACGTGCCTTGCATTTTCCTTCGGTGTAGGTGGCCCAGGAAATTGAACGCATTGCAAGGAGTATAGCATATATGTCTAGATAAACAAATTAAAGTTGGGATGGGAAGACCAGTTTTTTGCAATKTTTTATGAAGGGTAAAGTCTGAAAYAAAATTCTATTAGTGTTTGAGGCTTCTGGACTTCTTTTTTCTTTTGCTTAGTGTGTCACTAGCGTTTTGTGTRATGCCAAATGTCAGATGATTGTGAATGCTTTGTCCACAATGTTGTCATATGAAACTAGTGGCTGGGAATAGTGAGAAAGAAAGTGGTTTACAGAGCTTTAATGTAGTGTTTTGAAGATAATTTGTTACATTTGGTCATCTCAATATGTGTTGACATGTGCTTTCTGGAGATTTGAATATTAATGGTGATTTTCTGTTTTTGTTTCAAGTTGTAGATGTTTTTGTGAACACTCAGTGAATTAAAATGTTTGGGTTGTTTGTATTTTAGACTCATAAGAAATACCTAAAAAATTAAAATTAAGATGGAATGTATAGGTTAGGCCGAAATGATAGTGGGAAATGAGAACTAAGAATAATTCTATTAGGAAATTTTTTACAATTGAAAGGGCTTCAAGTTATTTTTTTTATTTAATCAGATGGGGGTTAGTGAGTAGTTATGATTTTTTTTTTGTAATCACTTCTGTACTCTGCTATTTAGCTGGAACAAAATCGCTTTGTGGAATACATGGATCCCAGTTGTGAACACTTACTACATTTTTTTAAGTAATTGACTTCAGTAAAACTACTCAACAGTTCTAGAATGAGGTATTTACTTCTAAAACATTTGGTTAAAAACAACTGGTTGTTACTTTAGTCAGTAACTAAAAGCTGTTGTATTAAATAAAGCTAATGCTCTATGGGAATTCTTGAAGATCCATGTGTGAAAGAGACATSCCTATTATCAGAAGTTGTGGTCATGTAATTGCCTCATCAGCTGATTATTTTTTGTTAAGMTCTCACAATTAATGAATTGCTTAATTTAAAATGGGATTTATTCTTCAAATACTTGAAAATAAACCAGTGTTTGAACTRGGAATTTTTAAGCATAAATGTTGTAGTCACACTACTTACTGAGTTGAGGACCTGGTAAATAATACTGTTCTGATTAGAAAGAGTGAAAATGCTCATTTGGAATGGAGAAATCACCATTAACTTGTTGGGAAAAACTTAATTTAGCAGTAGTTTGTGAGTTACGCTATATTTAACCAACTCTGTTATGTAGATTTTTGATGTTTTGATTTGGTTTAGTATGAGATACAAAAAAATTGAAATTTAAGGTGATCTGAAGGTGTGGATTGGCAAATGTAGTGTTATAGCATTTATTTAAAAGGTGCAGCTCAGGTAATACAGTTAATATTCTATAATTCAAATCACTAAATGATGTTTTACTAAAGTGTTCTTATCAGCAAGGAACTCTTATGCTTTTGATATGCAGCCTGCTTGYTTAATAGTAATTAATACTTCTCGTTTCTTTCTTAGTTTGGATGTACTACCGAGGGTGACTTGCCCAAATCATCCAGATTCCATTTTAGTGGAGGATTACAGAGCTGGTGATATGATTTGTTCTGAGTGTGGACTAGTAGTAGGTAAGTAGTTATTCTTATTTTTATAAATTACCATAKAACCTAAATCGTGTGTGTGGGTTTGCTATCTCTTGATGCCCAAGTTTGGGTGGTAGATTTGGTGGGGTGTTTGTTCATTTTGGAGTTTTTGTAGGGTGGTTTGTTTTGGAGTTTTTTGTGTGGGATTTACATTTTTTTTCATGATTGTCCATTGGCTAAAAGCTTACTGTTTTTAGTAGTCTGTCTTCTGGTAATTCTTGCACTATGAAAAGAATCAAAATCTCCTTAAAGRCTCAAAATTTACTCAAAAGTATGCTGTAATGTGAATTGGAGTATTGTGCTGTCCAGTCCAGTACTCAGTCTTTAATCATGACTCTTCTTTCATTCTGGAAGCATGAGAAATGTTATAAAACCTGTCTGTGAATAACTTGCTTACAAGAAAAAAAAAACCTCASAACACAAAACCAAACCAAACCCGAACCAACCTCAGTTTCCCATTAGCTAGAAATTATCTCCTGCCCTGCAGGATTTACCTTCATATSATTGCCAGCACCTGTGTTTGTTAATTACTTAAGACTATCCTAATTTCTTCCACTGGAATTTTGTGGAACTCTTTTACGTGGTTTGTGTAGCAGCAACATCCACATACTAAACTACATTTTGGACTATAATRGAATATTTCAAATGAAAGGCCTTTTAAGCATTGGCTTTTGTTTGAAAGAGAGGAAGTTGTC